CTTTCACTCTTCCTCACGGGACACGCGTCAATACATAACCACAAATGCCTCCCCGCAGCGTCACCACTGGCATCCCACAGCCAGCCATCTGCAGCAGCTCCCCAACAGCCATATCACAAATCTTCCTGCGTTTGGGGTAGCAGGAGCTACTGCGAGACTTAATTCCAACCCTCGGCCATTGGCAGATGGATCCACTCCTCTCCAGCCGGGCTTGCTGTTATCGAAGGGAAAATGGCCATAGAGCTCTTGTTTGGTTGGTGCTTTTGCAAAGCAGCTGCACTGTGGATAGGCATGGCTTCATTTGCCCATCTTAGTCATCATTTTAGTGTCTTTCAGATCCTAAAGTCTCAAAGTTTCAGTTCGTATATTTTGCAGGAGTGAGAGTTTAAACTCGCAGGCCAGCGTGGCCAGGCAGTCAGGCACAGCATGAAACCTCCCTCTACCAAGCCGCATCTTCACCACAGCTGCAAATGTGTTGGGGCGCAGGAGGCGGTGGGTTTTCAGGGGTCATCGAGGTGGCACAGCCAAAACTGCTAATTGTCAGGGCTTGTAAACGAACAGACCCATTTGTGGCCTTTCTGCAAGGGCCTGCCTTCCACCCAAATAAAAACTGACAGCGTTTAATGAATCTGCTACGAAGAAAACATCCTGTGAGAGATTTTATAGCCTGAGCATGGCGTACACAGCTGAACGTGCAGGTAAATCGCGCCCGGATTCAGACGGGCGTGGGCTGAGGCCCCTCGCCAGAGGCGCCGAGGCAGTGCCGCGAAGTGCAATGGCGGCCACGGGTCTCGGCGCCCCTCGCCTGCGCCGCAGGGCCCGGGAAAGGCCGTGTTGGTGGCAAGGACCGTGCTGCGTGGCGGAAACGTGTTGGTGAGAGGGCAGGGAAGGCGCTGGTAGCGGGGGGAACGTGTTAGTGGGGAACCGTGTTGGTGGGGGGAAACGTGTCGCTAAGACACCGGGGTCCGTCACGTCGGTGGGGCCCGGGTGTTGCGGGGCCGTGTTGCTGCGGTCCTTCCCCGCGCGCGGGGCCGGGACCGGGGCCGGCGGGACCCGCAGCCGCTGGAGACGGTGCTGGGGGCGGCACAGACTGGCGGTGCGGGCCGGGGAGCGGGGAGGCTGCCGGGCGGAACCTCCCGGAGCGGTGTAGGGGGTGCTGTTCCGGTCCGTCGGCCCCATTTCCCAGCAGCCCCCGCGGCTCGCCCTTCTCTTCCGGCCCGGCGGCGGCGGCGGCGGTGAGTGGCGTTCGGTGCTATCCGGCTCCATCCGCGCTCCGCGGCGGCCGGCTCCCCGCGTCAAGCTTGAGCCGACCCTGCCGGGCTGGGAGGGGGCGAGGCCGGGCCTGGGGCTGCCGGGGTGGCGGGAGGCCGGCGGCTCGGGGTCGGCGAGCCCCGGGGCAGCTTTGGGGGAGGTGGCTGGGGGGAACCGGGGTGCGCCGCGCCAGCCCCGCCCGACTGAGGGAGGGTCTCTTTCTTCCGCAGGTGCAACCATGGCTAAGTCCAAGAACCACACCACGCACAACCAGTGTAAGCCGGGCTCGGTGTCCCGCGCCGCGGAGCCGGTGCGGGGTTTGGGCGGCGGGAGGGGGGGGGAACGGGTGGCGCTGGGGGCGGCCGAGCGCCGCAGTCGTAGCGGGGCTTGAGTCAACAACCCCTTTGGGCTGCTCGGTTAGGGCAACCCAGGCCTCGCGTGTGTGTGTGGTTTTTATTTTTGGTTTGCGGCGAGTTAAGCTCCTGAAGGAGGGCGGCGGTGGTGTGCCGAGGTTGGACGGGGTGTTTAATGAAAAGAGAGCTCTGCAGGAGTCAGGATTTGTTTGGGCTCAATATAAAATAAATACGTAACCAGAAAAAAAAGGCAAGCTTCATATGTTTGAACTAAGCACGTTAGTGAATGGCATTCAACCTGTGATGCTTTGCAGTCCAAAGGCAACCACTGTGCTAAAATAATTCTTGTTTGGGTTTTTTTCATCAGTGCTGTAAGTTAGCAGAGTTCACGGGTAGGTTCTGCTTGGTCTTGCACAGTGAATGATGGTGCCCTTTAAACACAAGTGCTTGAACTTAGTGACTGAGTCTTTTTATTGTTGCTATAGGTATGTTACTACTTAACGAGGAGCCTGAAATCCTTGGGTTAGAGTCTCGTACAGTGTCAAGAGCACAATATGCGGAGGGATGAAAGTAGAGATGTGTTCTTAATTTGCTTTTAATTTGTATAAGGTTAGAAGAGTTAGAAGATTTTCTCTTCTACATTATTTTGGTAGGGTCAGCTGGACTTAATGCAGCTCTTTAATGGCAAAAATGGTATATTACATTGTTTTCTGATCTTCTTCATAGCCCGTAAGTGGCACAGAAATGGCATCAAGAAACCCAGATCCCATAGATATGAATCTCTCAAAGGGGTGAGTATTTCTGTTGATATTTCCAGGCTCCTAAGTTATTCAGGCTTAAACATGAAAAATCCAGTATTTGTATTATTTTGACTGACATTTTTTGCAGACAGGGGCTTGTGTTTCAGGTGATCAGAACCACTGTGGCTTTCTTTTTCATCTTTTGCTTACCTTATGTGCAGCTGTGATAATTCTAACCCACACGAAATCTGCCCTTATATGCCTATAAAACTGCTTTTAAGTTATTGGCCAGTTTTGTCTCTGTCCTGCTCAGGTGGGTGATACTGCTGCTTCCGGTGAAACAAGCCCATCCCCGTTGGATAGCTCTCTTCCCTTTCGAGTCCTGCTGTCTCTCCTACTTCTCTGTACCTTTCAATATTGTTTTACCATGTGTACTAATCCAGAGAATTTGACTGGGAAGAGGAGAAGGATTGTCATTTCTGGACAATACATATGAAAATGACAGCATTTTGCTATTTCTGGGACTAGAGAAGTGATATAATGGGATCTTTTTCCACACTTGAAAGTAAAAACAGGACATTTTTGCTTTGGGGAGGGTTGTGATTCTATTTGCTTTGTAGATGTGATTATCAGCTTTTTTGGATGTGACGTAAAAGCTTGTCTTTGTGTAGCTCAGTGAGGGTTCAGGCCTGCCCCTCCAGCAGCTAGTCCGGCAGTCTTCAAGTCTGTCTCCTCACACTGAGCACACATGAGTTAAGATGACAAAATTCTGATACTCATATGTGCCAGTTAAAATGCTGTTTGCAGTAAAATAGCGAATGTTTCTCAGTGTGGCAGTAGCTGATAGTTCTGAGAATTGATCCTAGCCATGACAGGATGCATTAGCCAGCCATTAGCTGACAAAATCTGGGAAGCTGCTCTTTACGCTGGTATTTTTTACCTTTAATGTAAAAAGGAAAGGTCTGAGGAAGAGGCATTGATCTTTGCCCAAGTATTACATGTACATCTGCTCACCTGCCAGGGTTGGTTTGTGGTACTTCAGATTCAGAATTTATTGTGACATAGACAGTAAATTTGTCTTGTTCACAGCTTTACTCAACTTGCCATATTCTTTATGTATGTTTATTGCTGGGATTTTTGGTCAGTTTGTTTGTTTATGGAAATTAAGGAAAACAGCTAGCTAAAGGATGGTTACAGATGGATAAAATAAGTTTGTTGATGTAATCAGGAAAAAAGAATTAGTCACAGCCAGCACTTGGGAATAATTGGAACAATCTGGAGATATACATGTTTTTATTTTTTCCTTATTTTTATAGGTTGATCCCAAGTTTCTGAGGAACATGAGATTTGCAAAGAAACACAACAAAAAGGGACTGAAGAAGATGCAGGCCAACAATGCCAAGCAGGCTGCTCAACAGAAAAAGGACTGACGTGGTTTAAGACAAAGAACCAGTTTTCCTATTGGCATGTGTGTTACAGCATTTTTGTAAAAATAAAATTGGATGTAACAAAGTCTTCACTTTCCAAATTAGAGGAGAACCTTCCAGAAGCCTTGTCTGAGTTGTATTTTACGTGCCAGTCTTGCATCAAGCCTGCGTGTAGTGACCAGTGTGTGGTTTTGCTCCCTGGCAGATGAAGGCACCCGGCTGGAGAGGTTTTGTTAATACTGTCAGCCTCTGCAGACAGTAAAACAGTGGCTCCTTCCTCAGTGCTGTTCTGCTGTAGTCGTTGGTATAGGTCATGAGCAGTTAGTAGCTCAAAGTCTGTTTTCAAGTTGTGAAATAATTATTGAATGAAGTTCTAAAATTTAACAAAAAACAACTTGGGGGGTGGGGGTTGTACAAATTGAATTCAGTGTTGCTTGGACTCTTGGGTGACTATTCAATAAGGGTACAATTTTTGATACTGGCATGCATGTTCAGAGTTCTCTCATGCCACAATTTTTATGATAGTCCCTAGTGTTGCTACAGGAAGATGAGATTTCCAAGGGCTGTTAAGTGTCAGCTGCTTTGCTGTCCAGGTAAGGTAGTTACATGTACAGAAATCATGAAAAACGGGAGGGTAATGAGTGCTAGCTGTGGTGTTGGAGATCATAGCAATTAGTGTTAGAGTTGCCAAGTGTTGTGCTCTGAAATACTTGAAAGTATTGAAGCTTTAATGGAGCTACCGTGGGAGTGTGTAAGGTTTTAGGACTATATAAAATACCCATATTTTTCATATTTATTTTAGTGGATGTCTTTCATTGCAGTAACAAAATACCTATCTGATGAAATGTGCTGACTGGTGAGATTAGGGGAGTAACATTCAAAAGCCCAAGGGGTGCTGTGGCAGTTTTGTTTTTGTTACTGCTGTGCTTCTGTAGATCATGAGGGAACTTCACTCTGCAGGTCCTGCCAGCCAGCAAAGCTGGTTCAAGAGATGCTTTTTTTATTACTGAAATGCATCACCTAAAATACAACGAACTGTTCCTGATATTGCAATTCCAATTTTTGTCCACCTGGTGGTGTAAATCCAGGAATCGACACAAGGGCTGAAAATTTGCAAGTATTGACTTTTCAGTGGAGCTGCAAACCGCCTGCTGGATAAAAAGAAAAAAGTAATTCAACCGAAAATGCCAATTAGTGTAATTGATCATTATTTTTAAAAATAGTTTAGCCAATTACCAGACTGCAATGTTATCCTGAAACAAGGTAAATCTTTTTAATTCTTCATGGCTTGAATTCAAAAGTCTTTTCCCGGTTCCCACTTTTAATCATTTTTGACTTATGAAAAATACAGCCCAGCTCTAAACCAAGCAATATAACAAGATTTAACTTAAAACTCAGGACTTGAGGGCTTTTAAAGTCTAAGGGAAGTGTGCAGCCCTCAGGTAACTGATTCCTGCTGTGTGCGTCTCTTGGACTATTGTGGAGGTTGACGTTTGTCAGCCAAAAGAACTTAATTGCTGTGCGAGAGCAGTGTGCTGGTCAGGAGGGGTGCTGTGTGGAAAGAGTATGGTCACAGAGCTCGCACCACCAGGTAGAGTCTGCTAAATAGTGAAGACAAAAAGGTGGGATGGTCCCTGCTGCCTTCAGGTACGCCAGAAGGTCAAGTGGCGAGAGGTTCATGATGTTAATCCTCTGTGGAGAGATTTTTTTTTCGGCAAGAGGTAGGTCACCCAGAGATGGATGCACAGCACTTAAATCCTACTGGCCTCGGTGGTTTCTGAGTGCCCGTGGGTGTCGGAGGTCTCAAGCCACGTGGCTGGTGCCTGCCCTGCTTGAGAGGGTTTGTCTACAAAGGCAAGATCTGGTAGCTGTGGTTCAGGTTAGCGAGCACATCTGGCAGCCTCGGCCGCTGGCCCAGAGCTGCCCGGCAGCCCTTGACAGGGCTGGCAGAGACAGCATGGGGAGATGTCCTCCTGGGTTGCTGCTGGTGTTGGAGAAGACAGAGTGGCCGGTCCAGCTGTGTGACAGTCTGCTGCAGGTACGTGTTGTGACAAGAAGAGCAAAAGGAAAAAGCCTCTGAACAGAGGGCTGTGTATTTGTGAGGCTACACCTTCACCCATGCGTCTGCAGATATCCAACCTGTTTTAAGTTCTACATTTTAAATCTTCAGCGCTAAGACTGTTCTAAGAAGGGAGATTTCATCTCTAAACCCCCTAGGCATCTTCCCTAGAGTGCTTGTGTTGCGAGAATAGCTCACCCCACAGGATGCGGTTTGAGGGAAGAGAGAGAGAGGCAAGGGTCAGGCTGAGAAAAGGATGTTGGCATATTAACGAGAAGCAGAGAGGAAGATTTGGGCTTCCGGTGGCTCCAGGCAGCTCCTCCAGGCCTGCCTTCAGAGGCAGCCCTTTCATCTCGCTGCCCTTCATGTTGCCCTTCAGTGGGACAGCTTCCCAAATATGGGCTTGCTGACTTTCTGACCAAAATAGCGGCTGCGTGACAAAATGCAGCACGGAGGAACGTAACCTTAATCCAGGCATCATTGTGTAGCAAGAGACAGGAATTTTGTGAGCTTCCACAGCGGCTGGGTGTCAGGTTTGTTGTTGTCTGCTCCCTGCACACATGGTGGTCCTGCGGGACACTGCCCAGACAGCAAGTTGATCACCTATTGCATTTTCTAATGCAGTGACAGCTCGGTCCACCACTTCCTTCCTTGTTGTAGGGGTTGCCCCAGGCCAGAAGGGAAAGCTGCAAAGGAGAATCTGCTGACATGTCCTCATGGTGGGTCTTCATCCACTTTCATTTGCTTTGTGAAATAATCTAAGTTCTGTTGGTCAAGTGAGGCTGAAGATCCTTTTTGGGAAGATTACGTATACATAGCCCAGGAGACAGAACTGGCAGCTGTGGCCTACTTGAAACTATTCCCATTATGCAGAGCTCCGTCATCTTTGTAAAAAGTTCAAAATGCTTATGATTAAGCCCTTGGTATCCTGCAGGAAGCCAATGAGCTTGGGAGCATCTCTGCTCAGTTACTGCTGTGCATGAGGTTATACATTTCGTGGTTGCTGCTGCTGTATGTCATACTTGCTGCAGATTATTTCTCCCTTTTGCAATTAAGAGGACTCTGTATCAAGTTCCAGTTTGGCTCCTTTTTTCACTTTGACTTAAAAAAAGGAAGCAAGGGGTATGTAACCAGATACTGAATCAGCTCATTTGGCAAAGGTGAGCCATTGCACTGAAAGCCAAGAGCAGAGAACTGGGGAGGAGAAATCAAAACACTGCAAAATGCTCTGCTGGGCCAGAGTGTGAACATCAACGTCCCCAGTGAACAGTGAAAATGAAAAGTAGGGCTGGGTATGTGTTGCTCTGTCCCCCTTTATTGCCTTTCAGCAGGGTGTTCAAGCAGAAACCAGTGAACAGAACATGAGTTCTGCTTTGCCCAAGTTTCAAGGCTGTTGCAGGTGTTCCTACACAACAGGGGCTTTGGTGCAGTGAAATGTTTACCTAATGTACCTTAGCTCACATTGTATTGCCACTGCCCTGGTGGTGGCAGATCTATGACTGGAGGTGAGATGCAGAGGTTTTATTAGGGGGATGCATAAAAAATGTCCTTAGATCTTCCTGCAGTCGCTTAGTTCACACAGTAAAATTTTACCAAGGACTGAAGAGAGGCCTTGAATACACTGGAAAAGCTACAAGTCAGGGCAGGAGTTAAATCTCCTGCCAGCAAAAGCAAGTATATCAAGTGGCCTAAGAACTATGGTTGTGTCTGGTTGCACAAGCTGCTGTCATCTGCCAGCACAGCTCCTGTCTCAGCTGGAAGGTTAAGGCCATAAAGATTTAGGGACTATTTTAGAGAGTGGTGAACGGCTTTTTGCCTGATTTTTAAAAAAAAAAAAAAAGATTGTTTTGATGACTCACCTCCCCCACCAAAAAAAAAAAAAAAAGTGCATGTGGACATTGTCACATTCCTTAAAGGCTTTGGGCACCAGAAGTTCACACACAGGGAAAACTGCAAATTTGTTTGGAGTTGCATAGGTACATGGACGACTGAGTGATTTTTCATTCATCTTTAGCACATCTCCAGGCACATCCCCTCTGTGGAGGTTTCAACCAGGCTGATTCTGTACTGGTTACTGGTTTTTCAGCAATCTAACCCTCTCATTGGCCTGTCATGTCACCTTGCATTCCTAATGCAGTTGTTCCTGTGGTTTAGCCAACACTGAAATCCACCCACCCCGCGGCATTTGCTGGCCTACTCTTGGAGGACAGTCACTGTGTTAAGGAAAATGGGTCTTTCAGCAGTTTTTCTGACTTCACACAGAGTGCACTGACCCGTTGGCACCTCTGGTCTAAGGACTAAAAAAGCCCAAATAGTACCAGTGTGTCTGCTCTTCTAGCGTCAAGTTTCAGATGCTACAAGACCTTTGTCCTTTCTTTCCAGCCACCACCTTTCCTGTTTTACTCTCCCAAAAGAGTGGGCAGCCAGCAAGGTCGTGGCTCGCTGCTCCCTGTGCCACCAAACCGAGGGGGGAGAGCCAAGACACAGGGCCAGGTGGCTCTTTGCAGCCATCCATTTACCTGGGGTCACAGCAGAGTTCAAGCCTCCCCCAAGCCACCAAGGTGATTGAAGGGAGGGGATTAACCTTATTTCTTCTCTTGCTCACCCTGCAGTGAACCAAAGCCCGTCAGTAAGCAGTGGAGTGTATCTTGGAGATGTCCTTGGGTGCTGGGATCTGGCTGGGACAGAGGAAGGTAACGGGGATGTTGGTGATGCCTGCTGAGATGTGATGTGAGAGTGTGGATGGCCGTGGCTCTGAGGAGACCTGGTGTCACCTTGGCTCATGGCCAAAGCCCAGGTATTTGCAACTCTGTGGAGGTTTCCAGGTCTGGGGCAAAACACTTCAGCTGTGTCCTCAGAAGCAGGACTCAGTGGGAAACAACTTCTGCTGCTACTCTGGGAAGTGGAAAATGATTATTTTTTGATCTCTAGTCTATGGATTCATTGGAAACAGAAGATGGTAACACTCAGAAGTGTTTTCTGTCACAGGGTTGTTTGATGCAACACATTTCTGTGTCTGTTGGCTTCTGGTACACCTGCAGTTCTGCTGAAGGAGCAGGAGCTATGGCATTGAGGGCTTGGAACCTTCAGGGAGACGGCTCTGAGCAGGTCTTTCAGATGTGTGCATTAAGGCTGTTCCCAAAATATCCTGGGTTTTAAGGAAAATCAGCTGCTCTAGCTGACGGGAGTTAATTTCCTTGCTTTCTCTGATGTTACGAGCCCTGGTTGGGCAAAACGTTTGGTGCTCGTTGTCCAGAGGAAAGACACAGCCGTGTCCTTCCAAACAATCTCTCGTGCCTGTTTTCACCTCAAGCTTGTTTGGTCTGAATTAGAGTCTTTCATTATTGCTATATATATGAGTGTGTATCACATCAAATACAGCTGCTCAGGGTGTTATTTCCACAGAGAGGGAAACAAAAAAAGCTGATTTTTGAGAGGAAAGGCAAAAGGACAGTGCAGTGGGCACGGGGGGCACTGGCATGGCAGCACGCTCGCCCAGCGTTGAGGGCAGCATTGCTGGGCCTTTCACGGAGTCTCACGCTTTGCCCTGCCAATGTTTATTTTGCTTGGGTAAACGTTTGATTTTAGCAACATGACTGCAATGCATGAGCTGTGCTGGGGCTGTAATTCGATGGGAGGAGGCAGCTATGTGCAGGGAGAGCTGCTAATGCCACAGGAATGCTGCACTTCCTTGGGACAAGAAAAGATGGTGCCTAGGGCCCTTGGGGACAGCACAGCTTGTCTTCCTCAGCTCTGCTGTCCCCCCATACCAGGGGGATGAGACCCAAAGCAGGCTTGTGCCTTGCTCAGGGTCCCTGTGGCCCAAATGGATGTGATTCCTGAGGGAAAATTGAGCATTTCAGTTATTGCAGCAAGGTTCCCATCCAGGGCTGCTGGAGGACCATGAGGTGCTGTGGGGCGGCTGCTGCCACCTCTCTCTTGCCAGGCTGGGTGAGACAGGAAGGAGGCACCCAGTCCAACCGAGGAACGTCTTTTATTCACATTTCCAAAGAAAATTGAGGTCGTCTTTCTGCATGCGCCACAGGGTGGCCATCAGGATGGCGAGGAGGAGGAGGAAGGGGTGTCCTTTCAGGACAGCTGGGGCAAAAGTGGGGAGGAGAGGGACTGTCCCTCATTCGTGGATTTCAGTGGTGGTGTAAGTGGCTGTTAATTCACATTTCATCACTAAAATGCTGCTGATGGTCCAGTTAAATTAGCAGCCACCAGTGCTGGCTCCTGAGCTTGCTCATCATGTCAGGAGTGAGGAGATGCAACTTGGCAGCTCCACACCAAGCACCCACGGCCCCATTGGCTGGGCTTTGCCAGTGGGCTTGCAGCAAAATACCTCCTTGGAGGTTTAAAGCTCCAGCTGTGAAGTCACCTTTCCAGATATGGCTCATGGGTGCTTAATGTGACCCCATTAATCATTGAGTATGCAACCAAGGTGAAGCTCTCACTAAATCGCCAACGAACAACCATCTGAGGCACTTGGTATTAACACATTTTATTTTCCCAGTGGCCACCCTTCTCAGCGCTCAGTCTTCATGCTGGTAGCCAGGGGACTTAGCCAAGGAGATGAGATGCAGAGCTTGGAGGGGTTTAGGAGATTCAGGCTGTTGATCTGGTCTCAGGTTTATTCAACTCCCTTCATAAACTCCAGGAACTCTGCCAAGGGGAAGACATTGGAGACAAGGGGTGTGAGGTGGGACCGAAGTGCCCTCACAGCTGCCAAGTGTGCTCTTGGCAGCTTTCCCCAGCCCTGTCTCCTTTTCCATCCCTCTGATGCTCAAGAAGCTGAGAGGGGATGGCTACCACTCCTCTGACCACAGTGAGGACTCCTCATGACTCCCACTGGAAATGTCACTGAAGCCCAGCATCACCCTCAGCTGCCACAAAAATGCTGGAGGTGAGCACCCGGGGAGAGACACAGCCACCAGCTCAGCTCAGAAATGGTCTGGGGGTCATTTCAGTAGTATTACATTCAGAGATGGTCCTTATGTTCAGGGGGCAGGAGGGGATGGGCAGGTCTCTGGTGAAAAGCAGCATGGCTTCACTATGGGCTGGATTTCACAGCATGGGGCCAGTTACGGCAGCCCCAGGCCATTGCTACCATTTCACAAGCATAAGAAACGCCCCATCCCTGTGCAAACGCTGGCTGTGGTCAGGCACATTGCCAGGCACTGCCTGCATGAGCTCATGCCGGTCCAAGAAGGCAACCAAGACCATGGGAGCTGCCCAGGGTACACTCAAGGGCTCATGACAAAACTGCATGCCGGAAAGGGTCCTACCATCATAGTCAATCCTGCCATCGTTGTTTTTGTCACCATCTTTCATCAGTTCTTCTATGTCATCCTCAGTGATGGTCTCTCCTGTCGCCTGCAGCATGATCTTCAGCTCCTCAAGGTCGATGTAGCCATCTGCGTTTCTGTGTGAGGACAGAAGAGCTCAGGAGCTGACTGACATGTTGGGGAGGGGTAGCCAGGGTCCTGCATGGCTCCCACTGCCCCGCCATGCTGCTGTCACAGTTCTTACTTATCAAACATTCTGAAGAGATCTGAGAGCTCCTCTTCAGTTTTTCCTTTGCTGTCATCTTTCATACACCGGACCATCATAACAAGGAACTCATCAAAGTCTACAGTGCCGCTGCCTGCAGGCAGAATAAACACCGTCAGCTGGCGCTCTGGTGGGCGGCTGGGCAATGCCAGGTGAGAGATCACACTTCTCTTTAGTAACCGAGGGCCAAAACTCAGGAGAGCAGATCTGCAGCAACTGGCAGCTTTCAGGACCCTGGCATTAGTGACTGAGACCCTGCACCCTAACTTCATCACTGAAGTTTTACCTTTTGCAGTCTTTTTGCCAAGGCAAAATGAACCAAAAATCCTAGTGGAAGCACCAATGAATGGAAATTCCTGCTACGGAAATGCATGTCCATCTCTAGTTATTAATAATAAAAGCTTGAGAAGGCAAATATTCATGCAGTGTGTTTTTGCACCAGCAGTACAGTACTCTTGTTTTCAATGACACAGCTGTTTTCCTTTTTTTGTCTGATTTTTAACTGCTTTTTTATATTCCAGTTATTTAGTATGGTATTTCTGCCCAATTTATTCACTGTGTATTTTGTTATGTGTGATCAATGGTACACTGATGTAATCAGTATTGACAGTTATTTATGCGTGTGTGCATGTACACTCGAGAAGTAAAAGACTTTTCCAATAATAGAATCGTGTAATTGTGGCATTTCTGAAAGGGCAGTTGCTTCATTCAGCCTATATTTTGTTTTCTAAATGGATTAGTGCAATTTCAGCTTACCCCCCAAAACCAGTTCAAGCAGTCTGATCACTATAGAAATAATAATTTCTACAGTTTCTCTTTGCCTGGAAATTTCCTAAAGGAACCACACTGAAGTTTGGTAGGTGTTTAGTGTCCTTCAGAACCACAGCACTGCAGGTTGCTCCCCACAAGCTGCAACTGTCCCCAGTACGGATCCTGCTGGTACCGCACAGGTGCTGAGCACTCCTGACCTGCACTGTGCCCCCCATGCCTCCAGACATAAAGATGGCACTTGGGAGAGTGGAAGAAACCCAAATCTCTCACCGTCCTCATCCACCTCGTCTATCATCTCCTGCAGCTCCTCAGGGGTGGGGTTCTGCCCCAGCATCCGCATCACCTTCCCCAGCTCCTTGGTGCTGATGCAACCATCCTCTGCTCCCAGCACGAAGATGTCAAAGGCAGCCTTGAATTCTGGGGAGAGAGGGGAGAGGAGATGAGGGGGTGTCTTGCCCCACACCTCAACCCTGCAGGTGGGTGGCCCCAGGGCAGGGGGCTTGTCCCAGTCACAGCCACCCCTGCCCATGCACCCCTGCACTGCCTGGGCACGGTATGGTGGGGACACCCGAGCACACACACAGAAACTGCTTTGCTTGAAATGCTGGTGGATCAAAATCCTTGGGACATGCCCTGCTTTGGCCAGTCTGGCCAAAGTATTTTCTGGGGTGTAATTGCTGAGGCAGGCTGGGCTGCTGGCTGGGGATCTTATCTTTAGGCTGTGGTTAAAGATGCACCTACCATTTTTTTGCTCTTCTGTCAGCTGCTCAACCTGTAAGGAAAACGCAGAGACCAAGTCATTTTTCCTTGTCAGCATCACTAATTGTTAAAAGGACATGTTATTTGTTCAACAGCCTTTGGAAAGGTCAACAAAGCCTTACAACAGCCACCCTCATGGACTACAGGATGTATGACCAGTGGGGTTTTAACACCTCAACTTTTTGTAGTCTAAGAGATTCTTCCTCTTAAAAAAAAACTATTCCAAACTCCTTTGAAACAAGCATCATTTCCCTAGAACAGCAGCATCTGATGTGCAGCAGAAGTAGCCTTTGCATAAGCAGGGTAGACCCACAGGGAAAAGCATTTGTCTCTGTCACCCATTTGGGGATAATTTCTTGCTGCTGGCAGGTTTCACAGTGGAATGTGAATTTGTTTTTCAGCCCTCGATTTAGGAAACTCCCTGCACTATCCAAAGCTTTGAGAGCTGGTCTATTTCCATCTGAGTCAGTGTTTATCACAAAGGTTTCTGCCTCTGAAGGGAGCTGCTATTCCCTTTAGGCTGTGTTAGGTAGCTCCCCGAAGAAATGGCCC